TAGGCCCTTCATGCGGACTGGAAGCAGATCCAGGAGTAGTAGGTTTCCTTGAGGTTTTATGTACTGATTCATCTGCTGGGTGCACATGATCAGGTTTCATTATTTCATCAATAACCACTGGAGGGCTAGTTGTTCGTCTTGAAGTTACTCCTGGTTCATCAGTAGGTCCAACGATCCTAACTGATGTTCTAGTAGTTGACGCCGCAGTAGTAGGCGTGGATGGATTTGGAGTTACTTCGGTTTCATCACCGAATCCTGTTAACTGAACAGGTCGTTCAGAAGGTGACTCCGTTACAGCAGGTTGCCGACTGCTCGATGTCGCTTTTGTTGTCACACCAACTTGTTCATCGGTTCCTGTGAATCCATTCGATGTTTCAGGTGAAGGTGGAGGTGTGCTTGTAGGCTTGTTGTCCGGCATAGCCAACCTTGTGGTCAGGTCACTTTTGCCTGTCTCGCTAACGTCGGTTGATGTTGGAACGGATGATTCGGACAAGGTCGACTGTTGGCCATCCTCGGGCCTTTTCGTTCTTTCAACTTCTTCTCCAGGCCCTGTAAACTGTACTGGCGCCTCAGAGGTGTCGCTCGATGTGTGAGAATTCGGTGTTGAACTCGAATCGTCTTTTTCGTTTGATTCATTAATCGCTGACGGTGAACTGGTCGTGGTTCGCTCCATCAACTTTGGTGGAGTTGGAAATGAGGTCGCATCCGTACCTTGCATTGGTTCAGTCACTTCAGATGGTAAACCGTGTGTGCTTCCTTCATTAACATCCGGTGTAGTCTCACCTCTTGTTGGCATTGTTGCCCGATCAAGCGATAGTGGCGTCGGTGACTCCCTGATGTCAGGCTGAGTAGGAAACAATGTCACACTAACGTTTTCCTTCGAATCTGTAGACTCCGGGGATGTTTTTGGGAGTGTTTCAGGTGTGGTTGACTGCTCTAATGGTACAGGGCTTGTCGTATGCTTAACGTTTTGCCCCGGTTCAGTGGTTTGAATTGGAGGTTCAGAAAATGGCTCAGTTGCAGTAGGTTGTTGCACACTCGGAGTGACATTTGGTATCTTAGACGAAGGTTCAAGTGTTTCTGTGGAGTGCTCTTTAGATGTCGTCGGCCTGAACGTTGTGTCGCCTTTTCCATTATCACCAACTTCGAGGGATGTTTCAAAAGGCTGGGTCACCGGTGGCAATGTACCCGACGACGTCGAGAAAGTGTCGATTTCATCACCAGGTCCGGTGAACTGAACTGGGGGTTCTGATGGTGACCCAGTAACAACCAGTTGTAGGACAGACGATGTTGTCAATAAAGTCTTCGGCTTAATGGTTTCAGATGGTGTTTTGGAAGAAGGTAAAGGAGTGCTTGTATGCTGGTTATCCGACATATTTGGTTCTGCGGTAATGTCGCCTTCACCCGGTTCACTCACTTCAGTTGCCATTTCAGGTGACAGTTTGGCTGTAGAAGGTTTCGAGGACGTCTCGACTTCATTGGTGGTTCCAGTGAACTGAACTGGGGGCTCGGATAACGGCTCAGTAGTAACGAATTCGTGGGCAATTGGTGTTGATTCTGAAGACACTTCCACTTCTTTATTGATTCTAGTGGTTCCAGTGACATCGGAAGGAGGTGCAGATGGTTCAAGTCGAGGTGATGCAGATGTGAGTGATGTACTAGGTGACCTCGAAGTCTCAACCTCTCCAGGCCGTACGGGTTGAAGTGTTGGCTCAGAGAAAGGTTCAGATGTTTCTGTAAGCTGACTATCTGGTCTCATAGGCTTTGAAGTAAATCCTTCTAGTTCATTAGGTCTTGTGCTTTGTGACTGTGGAAGACGGTTCATCGGTTCCTGTACATTAGGTGTTGAAGTGGAAATACTTGGTTTCGTGAATTCGCCAGACGGACTGAGGGTATTCAGCTCCCCGTCTTCTGGCGGAACGGAACCTGCGGTCTCAACAGTGCTTTCACGTCGCTCAGTATCTTCAGACGACATGTCAGGGGTGGTCCGCCGCTGAATAGACGACGCAGTTGCTCTTGAGTTTACATCATCACCTTTGTCTGAATCAGTAATCTGAGGAGGCAGTACTGAAGTCATTGAGTTCAGAGCGTTGGACTGAGTGGACTTCAAAGGGGAATCGCTTTCACCTACGAGTTCTGTAGCTCCGGAAGGCGACAAAGGAGTTACCGATTTTGAGTTGTCAGGGGAAGTCGATTCTGAAGTCATATCACCGTCTTCAACCGGTCTTTTGGTCATAGAAGACGATTCTGTTGTGGTTTTCTGAAGTAACACTGAAAGCGTTGACTTTGATGTTACCTTATCTCCTTCACTAGTTTCTGAGACCTCCGAAGGTAGTGTTGGAAATCCTGTTCGCTCAACATCCGGTAGAGCAGTTGGTTTGGATGCCGCTGATGGTGAAACCGTGATGATTGAGGATTGTTCCCCGGGTGGAGTCGATTTAGAATTTGTACTGCCTTCTTGCCCTGTGACTTTTGCAATCGAATCGGTCACTGTGGGCTCAGAAAGTGAAACGGTTGTGGTTGGCTGCGTTTGTGACGTTAATTTCTCTCCCTTACTCGGTCTGGTCACCTCAGAGGGCGTGGCAGAAGTCTCTAAACCAGGTTTCACTGAAGTGGTGAACTCAGAAGAATCCCCTCGAAATTGGGTGGTTAGCGAGGTGTTACTGTCCGTTACCAAACGCGTCCTTTCGCCTGCTGGCGTGGTGGTGGTATCCACCGTTGTGGCCGGTGACATGCCTTTCTCAGCACTGTCCATTTCCACTCTGACCTCCCCACTTACCCTATGTATTGGTGGCCGCAACATTTTTGTGGACATCCTTTCAGGTAAGCGTGAAGAAGTCTCAGAAAGCGTGGCACTTGTCGACGAAAAGCGATCTGCAGGGGGTGTCGAAAGACTGGCCGCTTCTGTGGTGTCCGATGAAGCTTTTCCATTTTTTTGTGGCGTGGTTGTTTCCTTTCCGCCTGCTAGATCTCCAGGTAACGTAGGGCCCGAATGTGTGTTTGCAAAAATGGTAGAACCCCTCAAGCTAGTTGGTTCTGACATATCTGTTGTAGTCGTGGGTAAAGTGGTTGTTCCAGCTTCCAGACGACTCGGCCCTGTGGATTCAATATTGTTAAGCGGGGATGTTGTGGAGCTTGATGAGGTTTTTGCAGTGGAAGCAGTACTTGTGTGTTGAGGTATTAGGGTCGTCGACCGGTTAACCTTAATGTGTCCATCAATTGAGTCTATTTCGTCGGTCGTTGAAGTTTTCTGTACATCTGGGGAAGCTGAAGACGTAATGGTGCTGTGCATCTCTTTAGTTGCACTTCGTCCCAATGTTTCCTCTTCTATAAAGGAACTGGTTCTCGATGATAATGTGCTGGAACTTCCCACTGAGTCAACTGAAGTTGTCGAAGTTGTTGCTCCACTGGAGTGAGAACTCGAACTCGACGTGATTTGACTTGCTTCTGTGGGAGAGCTCTCAGTAGTTTCGGGGGATATCTCAGTAAATTTCACTGGCATACTCGTTGACTCTAACGGAGCAACGGAAACTTTCGAAGTAAACTCGGGAAGTGGTGAAGAAATATCTTCGATGTCATCGTCAGGCGTCACAAAATTCAACACTACGGCCCTAGTCGAACTTGTAGTAGAGGAGGTAATGTTGAGTCGATGTTGAGTAGGAGTAGCTGTGGGTTGTTCCGGTAGGGCTGTACTTACCTCTTCGAAGCTATCCGTTTCCCGAGTTGCTTCCTCTCTATCGAAAACTCTAGGAACTTCAGTGCTCATTGATTTTTCTGATGGAGGGGCACTGTTTGTGAATGTAGGAGCTCCTGTGATTTCCTTAAACTCGTGCGGTGATGCGGTACTTACCGCAGTGCTTGAAGTGCTTTGTGCAGTGCTTGAAGTGCTGGGTGTAGTGCTTGAAGTGCTTTGTGCAGTGCTTGAAATACTACTTGGATTTTTTTCCTCACCGGGCTTACTCGTGGATGAGACAGTGGTTGACGCAGTGCTGGACTTTGGAGACGTCGGTGCTGCGGACGTTGTAGTTGCAGCAGTTATGGTAGTATTAGTATGATCTTCTTTTGGAGTTACAGTGACAGTAGGTTGGGTAGGACCAAAGGAACTTGAAGTCAAGTCACCAGTGGTATCCTTCCGTGTTGGAACCGTCGGTGAAGTGGCGTTAGATGGTGCGAAAGTCGTGCTTCTTTCACCTCCGGTGGTCTGGAACACGAATGATGGTGTGCTGGAGGTGGTTCCCGAGGTCTCCGCTGGCGCAGTACTTGATGTTCCGCTCGTCGTCGCTGAATAAGGTATTAGTTAGAAATTGAAGACAAAAATTCAACATCATGAAGCCAGAGCTGGTTGATTGCTTTGGTTAGTTGCAATATGTACTTGAGCATTAGTAAAAGAGTAGTGGCGTTAACATTTGCAGAACTAAGAAAGAACAAAGCGACGATTGTGCGGGCGCGGGGTGCAGAGTGTGCTTGTTGTATACCTTGACTAGTGCTTGTCGTGTCGGTAGTCGCAGACTCGTCGGCGATTGTGGTGCTGTGCTGTTGACTGACCGTCTCGTGAGTGGTAGATGAGATTAGAGTGGATGTACTTTTTATGGTATTAGAAGATAACAAATCTCCTGGGGCAGGAGTAGTTACCTCAGGATTAATTACAGTATTAGGCATTTTCACAGTGGTTTTGCTTTGGTCGCCTGTTTCTGACTCATCGGTTCCTTCCGAGGCCGTCGTTGAGGTTATTTCACTTTTTTCTGATGAGGTGGTATCAAACTCGGATTTTGATGCCATCGCTGTCTGGAAACCTTCAGTCGTGCCTTCAGAGGTTATGCTGGGCTCCTCCCTTTGTTGGGTAACGGTAGGTGAAGCCGATGTGGATGTCGTTTTGGTGTCACCAGCACCTGAAGTGCTTTCCGATGTAGCTGTATACTTGAATGAGTCGGTATCAGTAGAAGTTGGCGAACTAAATGCTGAGGAGGGAGTAGCCGTATACTCTGTACTGTGCAGCCCTGCATCCTCGCTGGTCGTACTGGATGGAGACGTTGCTGAAAGAATTTCAGAACTGGTTAGGGCGATACGAGTTGTACCACTTCTGTCAGTAGATGGTCTAGGTCCTTCTGGTGTGGTGACCTTCGCCTCCACAAATGAATCTGGTTTTGCAGTCGTCTTCAGTCCACTAGAAGTGGTCCCGGATTCGGTGCTACCCAGACCTTCTTCTGTTGTTTCGTGGATCATCAGAGTTACCTTTGGCGATGTGAGGCCCTCTACTAGAGGTTCTTGAGGAATCCCCGTGAGTCGAGTTGGCTCGGTCGCTGTCGAAGTAGTGGTCACTTCAGTGCTTTCGAAAGAAGGTCTGCTAACATTTCCTTCTCTTCTTGGGATCCCTGAGGTTCCTCTTGACGTAGGCGAAATGCCTGAGCCATTATTGGAAGGAGTTACTTCGGTTTCACTAATACGTTCCAAAAGCTCTTTGGGTATAGGAGTGGTACTGCTTCGAATCGATTGATCGGTTGATGTGGAATTGACCCTGAATCCTCGTTTAGTAGCTGCGGAGGTCTCAACCTCAAAAGTGGAAATCTCTTGAGTAGTTTCGGTAAACTCTGACGACACCGCTTTGCTTGTTTCACTGGAAGTTAGCAGTGGCTCATCAGTAGTATTATCAGCTTCTGGTGTGCTCTCCCGTGCAAATGCTTTTGTCGAAGCACTGAACCTACTTGAGAGTCCAGCGTCAGATTTCTCAGATGTGTTGACATCAAATGGAGAAACTGTTGTTGTTTGGGAAGGCTCTTCCCCTTCAGTGGAGTGAGTCTCCTCAACACCTCTTGTGGATGGGGTTTTTCGCGAGTCTTCTTCTGTCGGTGTAGCTGTACCAGTGATTAAGCCTGAGTCTTCCTCCGATTTTGGGGTTGTACTGCTGTGTATTGAGAGTTCCTTGCTACTTTGTGTAGAAGGTGTTGTTGTAAAGGCTGCAGAGGTTTCGACTTCCAAAGTGGAGAGTTCTGACGTTCTGTCTCCGGTAAAGTCAGGTGTCCCGCTCGAGACGAGTACTGGCTCTGTCGTAGCATTTCCAAACTTCGACGTTTTTTCATCTGTAGGAGAAAGCTCCGTTGTTTGAATCAAAGGAGATTCTGTGGTTGATGAGAAAGTGGTCTGCTCTCGTGTTGATGAGGCGAAGGATATTTCAACTGGGATAGTGGAGGTTTCAGATGTTTCTTCGGTGAATTCTGCCGAAGCTACAATAGGTGTTTCGCTCGAAGAGAGTAAGTTCTCCTCTGTATACTTGCCACTTGTTGACGTTGGTTCCTCTGTGAAGAGCCCTTCGGACGTAGCAGAAGCCGTGGATGTTGAAGTGTTTCGAGAAAGAGTTGCTTCAGTTGAGGATAAGCTCAGGGATACGTTATCATCAGAAGGAGTCGTGCTTTCACTTGTGTGAGGTTCTATCGTCGCAAGCTGAACTTCTCCCGATCCTTCTTCTTTTGATGTAGGGGATGAGAAAGGGGGTATATTAGAGGTGGTACGATGGGCAGGTCCCGTCACTTCTTCCGAACTCAAACCTTTTGGAGTCGGAAAAGGAGAGTGTTCGGATGTGGCCAGCGTAGTTGTGAGGGTAACGGCATCTTCGGAACTGGTTTGCACACTGCCTGCTACGGTAATGCCTTCATCAGTTGTGGTTTCTACTAAAGAACTTGGTTCTATCGATCTGGTTATAAACGCGTTAGTTGTTGATTCAACATTTTCTGATTCTTCTGTGTTAGATGACGAATCAGACGACAAAGTGAAAAGTGGAGATGGCCCAGAGGAAAGAGTAGGAGTGTGAGAAGTTGTAGATTCTCTTTGGAAAATTCTCGAGAGGAGCACTTCTCCATCAGTGAGTTTCGGCGATTCGGTAGAATCATCCGGTACGTTGGAAACCTCAGATGGTTTCGGTGAGGTTTTTGGTAAGACAATCATCGCTTGTGTCACTTCTACTGATCCAAGTTCTGTGATAAACGATTCCTCGGAAGTGAGTTGGTGAGTTTCATGAGGTTGATTAGTATCGACAGTTGTTGTTTTTTGTTTAGCACCATCACTCGGAAGGTTAGGGGTGGTTACGAACGACGATTCAGTTATCTCTATACCTGACACAGTGCTGGCTGAGCTACTACCAGTTTCAGACGGTTTAGTGCTTGATTCGTGAATGAGAGGTGTAGTATGAATAATGGTGCTTGATTGAATCGAATCGGTGATGGTAGTGTGATTTCGATGGTGATCGGTGGTGAGTGGGGACGTGGATGAAGAAGGCTCCACGGTGGAAGTCTGAAATCCTATANTACGAACGACGATTCAGTTATCTCTATACCTGACACAGTGCTGGCTGAGCTACCACCAGTTTCAGACGGTTTAGTGCTTGATTCGTGAATGAAAGGTGTAGTATGAATAATGGTGCTTGATCGCATCGAATCAGTGATGGTAGTGTGATTTCGATGGTGATCGGTGGTGAGTGGGGACGTGGATGAAGAAGGCTCCACGGTGGAAGTCTGAAATCCTATACTAGAGCCACCCTCGCTATGTGGCTTACCTAAGCCTGTCGACGACGTCTTCAGTGCAGTCGTCTTCCGCTGAGTGTCACCGGTTATGAGTTCAACAACCTCATTTTCGTCGATCTCTGTGATGGCTCCAGTTGATCGTGGTATCGACGAGATGGATAAGGTGGATAGGGTGGTGGAAGTGAAGGTAGTGGTTGTGGTGGTAACTTCTGAATAGTGCTTGTGCAAGGATACGTTCTAGGTGGTTCTAAATTGGACTACTTACCTGTGCAGTTTTGAATACCGTCTCCTTCATATCCATGGCGACACTTACAATTACCATCAGCCATACATTCAGCATTCGCGTGACACAGTCGTGCATCCAAATGGCAGTTTGGTCCTGAAGTCAAGAAAGAGCTCTCTCATGATAGGCTGTTCAAGAATGGGTGTACAGAGGTCGGTAAAGCACTTCATGCCATTTGAAAGTTTCAAGCGAAAGACCAAGAAAAGAAGTGAGCAGTCTTACGAGGAGTGGTTTTGGTGCCATTGGTGGTGTCGATAGCTTCACAGACATGTCCGTTGCCAACATATCCCGGATTGCACGTGCAGTTAAACGATCCAGGTGAATTGTGACAAGTAGCATGCGGATCACATATACCAGCCAAGGAACATTCATCGATATCTGGACAGAGATTTCGGACTCGTGCAAGTGTTGCAGGACAGATTTAGATTTGAATTATCAGCGTTCTTGCTCTGGCAATGGAACTGGTCCACCATCTTCACTATAGCACACGCTGTTCGCGGATAGGTGCATTGAAACTAATTCAGAACGAAATTCGGAAAATAAGCTTCTGAATGATAGTTCTGTTTCACGGCCAGGCTGAGTTGTAGAATTTAGAAATGCTCAAAATGCAGAAGGCGGATTTGGTGTAGGGACAACAGCAAAAGGGATAATGGTAAAAATGGACCAATGCTGGTTTTGGTAGAAACAGTGGAGAGCTGCTACCCTGATTCAAGGGAGCTTGAACCCGAATGCAATGCTCCATGCGTTCTACTTCAACTAAAAAAAAGCTTTCGGAGTTGTACTGACTAGGAAGCTAGACGACATTTTGTCATGGAAATATCTCATTACCCCCTAATGGTGGGCTACACAGATCTGCATCCTGATCAGTGCATAGCCAATTCTTACAACCAAATCTGGCCATCACGTGGAAATGCACTTGCCGATAGGTTGCTCAGGATAGAGGCTTTTGAGAAGGAAATGTGCTTGCATGCAATTTCTAAAATGATTCAAATTTACCATCACACCGCATCCCGTCGCCAATGTAGCCGACTTTACAGGTGCAAAAGTGTCGTCCTGGACGGACGTCGATACATTCGGCATTAACATCGCAATTATTCTTGGTGGGGTCCGAACAGACACCGCCGCTTTCAATTTCTGAAAGTAAACCATTTGATTAGTATATTGTGTCATCAATTGAAGCTAGTCAACAAAGCAGTCAGTCTCACGGTGACAGGTTCCATTGACGAGTTGATGTCCTTCAATACAAGAACCGCATTGCGGGACATCTTCATCATCCACATGACACGTTCTGTTTTCCTTTTTGCAAAGGCGTTGCCATTCTGGGGTACACGTGTTGTCAGTCTCACGTTTCATTGCTGAAATAAGGTTCGGAATAATGCAAATTGCCTCTTCGATTTACTGTTGACACTTTGAGACAGACCGTTGCACTGCGTTCCGTCGCCGGTGAATCCATGTACGCATTTACAGCCACAGCTACCTGGTTGGTTTATGCACATGGCCATACTGTGGCAGCCAGCTACTCCTCGCTCGCATTCATCAATATCTGGAAAAATCACTGACACAGCTCAAATTTAACTCCTCGGGGCTCAATTTTAATATATAGGAACTATGCAAAATCAGGATAAGCAGGGTTCAGGATAAAAGACCAACTAACGTTCTTGCAAAGAAGGTTAGGACAGAGATGTACTATAGAAGGAATTCACAGAGTTGTTTGACGCTGACGACTTCATCTTTTATTGATTTATTCAGTCACTCACCCACACAGACACCCCCAGTGCCCTCATAACCTTCATAACATTCGCATCGGAATCCGCCGTCTTCGTTGACGCACGTCGACGAAGCTGGATCGCAGTTGTGGCGGTTCTCAGCGCATTCGTCTATGTCTAAAATGGAAAAGAGTATCGAGTGGTTGATGAATTGTGCTGTGTGGTTCGCCTACCTTCACATTGATGGGTCACGTTGTTAAAACGATAATTGGGTTCACATTCACAGATACTACCCAAGGAGCCGTCAAATAACCGAACAGATAGGCATGCTGTGTGCTCCGTTCGACCGCAGAGTCGCTCCATGTCCTTACAGCTGTTCTCCAGCGGATTCACGCATGTCTTCACTCCGTCTCCTACAATGATTACTTCTGCTATTGTGCCCGGTGCAGAGGTTATTTTACAGGTTACCTTCAAATCCTTCAGGACATTTGCATTGGAATGAACCGGGCACGTTATGGCACTCAGCTTGCGGGTGACATGGCATTGTTCGACATTCGTCTTCGTCTGAATCAGAATGAACTGATAGTGACTCTTATATGCCAGGAAAAGTCAACTCACCATCACACATATAGCCATCTCCACGGAATCCCTTCTTGCACTGACAGGCATATGTTCCCATCAAGTTGTTGCAGACGGCGTTCTTGTCGCACATATTCAAACCAGGACTGGCGCATTCATTGATGTCTGAACAAAGCTTCCTACTTTCATGTTAGGGTTTATCGTTTTGCTGTCAAAAGTTAGTATGGCAAATACATTGTGAAGGAGTGGGGAGCTAGACTAATCTCAGCGCATCCATCATTGTCTGGGCAAATGGATGTTTTTAGGAACTTTGTAAGAAGTGCGCCGATGTTCGTCAGCTCATCAATTCGCAGTGCAATCAGCCTTCACTGTGCTCCAAATGCGCTAATATGTCTTACCTACACATTCCCCATTCTTCATCTCGAAGCCCATCTTGCACATGTCGCAATCTTTCTTGCCTTTGCTGTCAACCGTACACATGTGGTTCTTGCCACAGTTGGCATCAGCCCATTCAGCCTCCGTACATCCACGTTTCTCCACAGGCATGCACTTGTAGCCATCTCCGACAAATCCTGCAATAAAACTTCGGGATTCACCCTAAAGCCTTGAGGGACTTTATGAATAGCTTACCTTCATTACACTTGCATCCATACGATCCTTCCTTATTGATGCAGGTGGCGTTTCCACTACAACAACCTCCCTGGGATTCAGCGCACTCGTCAATATCTAAACAATATTATAAATTTACTGCTTCTGGGTAAAAGTCCCCGGAAGAGTAGAATTGGCAGTATGTTTCCAAGAAGAGATGGAATTCGTTTAGCAACGTTCATACTACGTTCCTTTCAACGAAAGGTGATGAGCGGCGGACGTCGAGGCCAGTTACGGCCGCCGATCGATATCCCCACGTCAATGACGAATAGCGCGTTAGCGAATCGTTTAAACATTCAAATGCCCTATTTTTTATCTTTTCTTCCATACCTTACCTTAGTTGACTATAGTCATGATACAATTTACAGCCATGATACAATGATTGTTAGATAGTTTGGGTACGACTTTGCTTCTCATAGTTGCTTCTCCCTGTTCCTCCCTAGTCTCCTGATTTTAAACTTTCATGGATCTTGGATCATAGATTTCTCTTTAACAAGCTGATTCATGTACGTAAGCGGAATCTATTAGCAACGTGAACTGTATGGATCACATGAGACAGAATCCGTGGACCCGGTCCTCATGTATTTGACCTCTTTATTAGGTGTTGCTGGCCAGCCGTTTTATCGTAAAACGTCGACACCTTTGCACGGCAATCAGTGGTGTTTTTAATTGATCGCTTTGTGGTTTACGTTTTCATCTGATACTCTCTGCACTTTAATTAGAATCGTTTTCTAGAATGCTATTAAACGAACGTCAGTTCCCTTTTTCCAAACAGAAGACATAATCCAGCGGGACGATTGACCAGATGATAACTACTACTAATCTTGGTGAGTCCTTCGATTATTTTTCGTTTATTTTTTTAGAACACTTTTTAAGTTTTTACTTTTCTCAGTGAACACTTGTATGAACGAATTCTTTCTTTTCTGGTTCTCACTCATTTTCTCTTCTGGTTCTCCCTCATTCTTACAAAAGCTTGTTTAAACTCACCAACACATATGCCTTTATCCATTTTCCTGTAGCCCATCGGGCAGAAACAGGCATATCCTCCAACATAGTTATGACATCTAGCAGTTTCATCACACTTATGAAGGCCAGTAGCGCATTCGTCCACATCTGAACTTTCATTTAACAATCGTAGAATCGGTAGGTAACATAAGAAATGAATTTATTAATGCCGCCCCGTCACTAAGATACTGTTAACAACAAGTCGATTGGATGATCCTTTTCATTTGAATAAAAGCGAATCTGATTATTTCAAATGAAAGGGATCATCCAATCGACTTGTTGTTACCTCTTTAGGTGGTTAGTAAATGAGAAAATCGTGATTCCCACTTTCATTTTTGGTTGTATCTGATATTACTTTTAAAAAGGGGTGAAGGTCTAGCTAACGTTTTTCAACATTCCAGTTATCTTGAAAAAGAAGTTCGTATCTACCTTTACATCCAACCATGGGTGGTGCTCCTTCGAATCCAGGGTAGCAACGGCATGCTCCTGTCCTTCTTTCGCAATATGCGTCATCTCCACACTGATCTCCGCTAGTGCACTTTGTTGTGTTACTGAAAAGGCCGCATTCTATTGAGCATCCAATTAGATTCTCCCGGTGTAATGTGTAATGAAGTGTGGTGTATCCTTAGGTCACACGTTCTTGTATTGAAGGGGAAAGCTAGATGGCCAAGAAAAAACTCTTGAAGTAAATCGGTCTCACCATATTTGACTCAAGGTATTTCCTGATTGAAACCCAGACTGCGACACCTTTATTGTCTCTGTTTTCCAAAAAGAAAATCTCTGATACTGATGTCACGCTTCTCAAGGCATGGAGTTGATTCCATTATGTAGTAGCAATACGGCGCCCTATTTATGTTATTTTCATTTCAAAATCATTGGCACATAGCACACTGATGTATTTGTCGACCATAATTCCTTTAGAATTATTTAGAACAGAGCCTTTGATAGTGTTTTCCCATTTTGGAGACCTATTTGCCAAGTGTTACACTGTGATGTAGTTTAGCCAATGTCTGACCACTTCGAAGGTCATTTGCTTTGACTGTTCAATTACATTCGTACAGCTATAGGTGTTTCTTCTCATATTGCCCTATACCTTTCAATATTTTCAAATCATAATTGAAAATACCTGGGCCCGAGCTCAGCAGCCGGCGTTGTTGGAGCTGTTGTGAGCACGAAGGTGTCCTTTGTAGGTAGAGTCTGCAAAAGTAATCTGGCTAAGACAGGACGTAAGATTTCTAGACGACAAACTATGAAAGCTCGCATACATTTCTCGAAACACTCTAGCTTTCTACTGAACAAAAATAGGGTAGTAAGTGAATTTATGTGGCCAGTCTTTTTAATACAAAGCCTAGTTACTTTACGCAGATTTCGAAAAATTCAGAAGACCAGTTGTATTTAGAGAAAGGAGTTTTGAGCAATCACAATTTATCCTGACTCACATCTGTTGCAAATTCTTCGGCGTCCGTGACTGGCTCACGATGCTGCTTTGGTGTCGACGGCAATCCTTCCAAAACAGCACCTTTGGGTACGGTATTACCGGAAACTGCGGTTGAACCAGATGAGGGACTAGCGGTCACTGTAGATAATGTTGTACTTGGCGCTCCAGTCGGCTGTTTTCCGTCTACAAACTCACTCCTGCTTCCTTCAGGGAACTCGGGTATAATCGTTGCCTCTGCGGTGGGATGTTGTGTAGATGGTGTTGGTTTAGGAGACGCTTCTGTCTTGGCAGTGCTTGATGCGCCGGAGGGCGAAGTCGTAGAAGTCGTAGACATGAACTCAGTTTTCGGAGTTTTTGCGGTTGATGGTTGAGTCGAAGATGCTGCCGATCCCAGAGCAGGTGTTACAGTTGCGAGCTCTGTTTTTGTTGATCGAGTTCCAGCAGTCGTTCCGAGAAGGTCGGTGGTTGCTGTAGTAGTCGGTTGATTGGAAGTCAGCTGAGAAGGTACTTTAGTAGATTCTGGATGGCTTGTCGGTTCGACACCCGCAGTGCTTGTCAAGGCATTTCCTAGACTTCCCGTGGTGAGAGTGGGCTCCGTGGTTTTCGCTGTCGTGGGAGATTTCGTCTCCGGTTTCGTATCGTTAGAGTCGACAGCCTTCATTGGTGATTTTGTCAGTTCTTCTGTGACTGAAACTTCCGATGTGGCTTTTGCTGGAGGAATGCTAGTGGAAGAGGCGTTTGAACTTTCATCCTTGGTCGTTAGTGATTCAGACGTCGCACTGTTCAACGGCCCTCCTGTTGAGGAAGCACTTTCTTTGATTGCTTGAGGCGTGGTTGTTTGAGAGACACTGGAATCAGAATCCTTGGTTATCGGCTCTATCGTTACTTTCGTTGGCAACTCCGTCGAAGACACAATTTTTTTCTCAGTAGTTTTCGTCGAAATTGCGGCCCTCGTTGTACCTTCAGATCCTTCCACGCCTTCTTTTGTTGGCTCGGCCGTCATTGCCGTCGAAATGGCGGGCTTCGTTGTACCTTCAGGTCCTCCCATGCCTTCTTTCGTTGGCTCGGCGGTCAAAGTTGAAACAGATGGAGTAGAATCAAAAGTGGTTTTAGAAGAACCAGGAGCGGCTGGAGTTCCTGAACCTTCTGGGCTAGCCGTTGTCAAATTACCTGCCACATCGGTCGGTGTTGATGTAGTCTCAAGACGGTTAGGTGTTGAAGTGGACTGCGTTCCTTCTGGCTGTTTGACTAACGGCTTCGACGACAGTTCAGTCGTTGAAGTGGGGCTTGTGGACGTAGATTCTTCCTGGTCTCCAGTAGAAGTTCTCTCTTGTGTAGTTGTTTTCTTATCGGTAATATCCGTGATAGGAGTAGGACTAGAGGAAGTCGAAGCCTCTGTCCCTTCCTGAAGTCGAGATGTCTCCTTAGGCAATCCAGTCGAAGAATGACCCTCTGAAGTACTACCCGAAAGAACAGTAGTTGTTGAGGTTGTGGAAGTTACAGGAGGCTCTGTGGTCACGACCGTTGTGGATGGAGCAAGATCTTGTGTGGTTTTAGAAAGTTCGGGGATACCAGAAGATCCTGAATCTTCAGGTGTAGTTGTTGTTAGATTACTCACCATATTTATTGTCTCTGGAGTTGGTTGAGTACTCTTTGAAGAGGCGCTCACTCCTGAATCTTTTGGATGCTCGGACGTTTCCTTGATCGGTTGCTCGGTTGCCGAAGAAGTCGTGTCTAGTGCGCTATCAGAGGCAGATGTAGTCGCTGACGTCGTGGTATCTTCCGTTAATTTCGTTGTCGTCTTGCTTGTTGTAGTACTAGTGATGGGGAGACTTTCAGATGAAGTTCCAGCAATTTTGCCTCGTCCTGAATATGTTGGTTGTTCGGACGTCGTCTTTGGAGGCAGCGCGGTCGAAGAAGATAGGACTGCCGTCGTTGTCTCAGGAATGCCACTGGTGTCTGTGACTCCAGAACCCTCATTCTGTTCAGTTTCCGTGGTTTCGGGTTCTTCAGTGGCGCTCGTTTGCTTAGCATCTAATGGAAGTTCATCAGTAACAGCTGTTTCTTTTTTCGGGAGCTTGGATGTAGGCTCCGTAGACGCTGAAGGAACACTGCTCGTTTGGGGGCTGCTAGTAGATTCTGTGGCATGTTTTGTTGGTTCCGATCTGAGTTGCTTGGATTGAGTGGTAGGCAGCAGAGTCGTAGTGTCCGTCTGGCCTGAGACGGTCGCAGATGCAGTTGAAGCTGATGTGGGCTTCTCGTCGCCACTTGTGGTAGTGGTTTCAATTACTGTCGATGTCTGTTAATAGAAAGTGTTAGTAACGGAACGGGTTAGCTCATTAGCAGAAAGCACCCTGAAGAGCTACTGAACCCTTCAGAGGATCGATTATGTAAAATTTACCTTTGTGTCAGTGGTCTCGGGCTCCTTAGTCAACTCCATGTTCGGTGTTGTGGATTCACCCTTTTCAGGACCAGGAGTAACTGAAATTCGATTCTCTCACTCTGTCTTACTATTCCCAACCCAGCAGACGAGATTACGGCTTAGGCTTAGGAATCTTACCTTTTGAGGACTTTTTCTTATCAAATTGGGAGTCGCCCTTCTCAGCATCTGTTTCCCCTGACTCATCAATAGTTATCTCGGGAGTTGCTGAAATATACGAGCATTTCGACAAGCTTAATTTACTTTCAGCGAGTAGCTGGGAGAGTTATCCGGATATAGAAGTGAGAAAGTTGTCAAAATTTACCTTTACTAGAGGCTGCAGCGGTCGTCGTAGAGCGGTCCTTCGTCGTTGTCGTCGCTGTTGTGACTTCTACAGCCTTTGTGGTTCCCATGGAAAGAACCAAATCAGGTTGGTGAGTCGTCTTTTCCGCGGTCAGCACAAGATCGGGTTGCTCGGTAGTCCGTGCCACAACTGCTGGGGTTTCCCCTGATCCTTCCAAATCTTCCGTTTTCGTTGGCGCCTTCGAGGTGCTTCCACTCAATTCTTTCAAGTCTTTTGGCGTCGTCACACCTTTAGTAGTTCCATTGGAGGGTTTTTTACCGTCGACATCTTCTTTATCAATATCGGGCTCAGATTCGGTAACTAGTTCCAGCTCACTAGGTTTGGTCGTGGTTTTTTCAACGGGGCCAATTTCCAGTCCAAGTTCGGTGGTAGAAACTGTCGTTTCACCCCGACCCTCATGAACGATTTCGAGTCCAACGTTATCACCATCGACTACGGGTTCAGGGGTAGTTGTAGCTTCTGCAGCGCCAACTGTTGGTCTTTCTCCTGCAATTTTGCTTACTTCATTTCGAGAGCTGAAGCTGCCTGATGATCCATGTTCTTCAATTTCTGTTATGATCGTTTGTGAAGATAGAGTTGTCTTTTCTACATTGGGCACGTCGGTAGCTGTCGTTACTGTAATGGTGAGGTTTCCCTTATTGCTGACCACTGAGTCATTGGGCTCTTCTCCTGAGCCTTCCTGATCGACAGCGGTCTTCGGGCGAGTAGTTGCTTTTCCAGTTGAAGGAGTTCCAGTAGGTCTGAAGGAAATCTCCAGACCCTGCTCGTTCTCCTTTGGTATCATTGGATTCCTATCTTCTTTATCCGTAGTAATGTCGACGTTGACGCTAGGTGGGACAGATCCAGAACTAGTGGCATTTCCAGAAGTTTCAGATTCAGATTTGGGCTTCATTTCGGTGTCAGGTGCTGGAGTCAACGCAGATATTGATGCAGTGGTGGTTCCAGAGGGGGAAGTAGAACTCTTTTCAGAAGTCGTTGCGACGCTGGTATCAGGTCCATGAGTGCGGTCCTCTCTAATAGTTGGGAGTGAGGTTGTGCTAGAAATAGGTGCACTACTCGTTCCAGATGTAGTACCGCTTTTCTCAGGTTTTTCATCTCGTCCTTCCTTTGCTCCTTCCTCGCCACTGATTGCTGTATGTGCTGCAGCATCTGTACTTGCTGCAGCTGTCACAGTAAGATCTTCGTCTTCATGTACTGTGAGTTCTATTGTATAAGGTTTTCCTGTTGTCGATGCTACCTCGGCACCATCAACCGGCTTTCTGTTCTGCTTAGCAACAATGGTTGCTGTTTCAATGGATGCCGTTGGTTCCTCTCCAGATCCAGTCTCCTCCGTCATTGTCAAGGTAGTCAAGGTAGTCTGCCTTTGTACGCCGTGCTCGATGACATCGACGCCACTGCCGTCGATTTCAACAACTGGGCTGCTTCCATTCTTCGGTTGTGCCTTAATGAAAAATTGCTGGATTAAAGAGCTCATAAAATGATCTGTTAAACCCATTACCCAAAAAAAAAAGCTAAAATTTGCTTTTGTAGACTACTTGTGTATTACATATCAAAATTGTTGCCAATGGGTTTAACAGCGATGCGCGCCATCTCGAGTTTTTTTTTTTGAGAATCTACGTTTTTCCTTGAGGAAAGGAAGCAGTTCTTCGGTGACCTTCTTCGATTTTTGGTGGGCAGGAAATGATAATCAAAATTGTTACCCATGGAACTGATAACTAGTGTTACTTCAGGGATTGACCCGAGACTGTTCAATGCCTATGACTTACCGTTGTTGTGGAGCTTATGCCATGAACAGGTATTTCGGTGATAGGGATTGAAGTGGTAAATGTAGATGCTCCACCAAGAGTTGAGATAACTCCCGGCAGTGTGACAGTAATAACGGATCCTGTTGTGGTGAACTCCAACGGATTTGATGTCGGCAGTGGGAATGTATCCTTTGTTATCTCTGTAAGGTGGCTCATAGGGTAGCCTTACATTCTTCGGACAAGTTGCAAAACTCACTCCTACTGGCATCGGAACCGGAGATTTCAAGCCCAACTTCGCCCTCCGTTGGCTTTGTGTCGAAAACATCGCTCTTGATCTTGTTCTTAACGACAAGAATCTCTCCTCCAGAAAAGTTGCGGACCTTAAAAATGATTAAATGGCGTGAGTAAGTAGACAGTTATGGTTTCCAGACTTCGGGAAGCCTTCATGGTCTTAGAAAGGCCAACTCACTTCGTGAACACTTTCTGAAATGGTCTGACCAGTTGTTGTTTCATTCACAGGCGCTGCTAGGAATGTTTCGCCTTCTTTTCCCAGACCGATGAGCTTCAGCCCACCATCTGGTCCTGCAGCGATTTCGAGACCTGTAAATGAAGAATTTTTAGTGATCTAGGTGTTCAACCAGAAGGTTCTTACCTATGCAGTCTGTGCTCAAACTTTCTGGTGTACAACAATGATAACCGCCTATGCTATTCACACACCACGTGTACTTCTCCTTCGGACAAGGATCGTTGGTAACACATTCATCAATATCTAAACAGAAGAATGGAGGTAAAGAGTGATAGCTCAGGAACTTTGCGGGATACGGTCAAATTCAGGGAGGTGGCAAAGATTACCTTCACATCCAAAAAGTGGATTGCCTCCAAATCCTTTGCTACAGCGGCAGACACCTTCGATGCACTCAGAGTTCGCTGGACAGTATGATGTGCACATCAGCTCTGGAATATTAGAATCTTTTCCCCGAAAAGTTCACCAATCTACAAATCCCTTACCGTTCTTTCGGTTAACGTTCACAGTCGGGAATAGCCCTTCGCCTTTAAGGAAACCATGACGTGTAATAACTTGCTGGCCACCCGAGTCGTTACGCCATGAACCCTTCGACTCATGGATCAGGATATCACCATGTGTAGCATTGTATTCCAATAGGACTTCACCATCATGGGTTTTGAACACATGCATTCCCTGAAGTAGACATATGTTTTTCATATTCGTACGACAACAAAGTGATCGTAGGCATGATTTTCAAGAGGAAACCTTTAAGCGTCATAGCTACGGTCCTTTCACGCTCCTATTAGGTTGATGCATAATTATTGCGGATTTTTTCGCGGCTCTTTTCCTCTTGAAAGAATTTTACTTTCAAGATCGGGTTTTTTCTAGAAATGATCTACCTGATTTTCTCTACAAGAATTACTCGAAAAACCATCCGTATATTCGCAAAATTAGGTTTTACTACTTTGAGAAAGATTGGAAGGTGGCGCACTCATTCCGCGATCTCAGTAACTTTTCAGCGATCGTTCATTAGGTGATCTAGTGAAAGTACACATAATGTACTGGTGGTCAAACACGGTCAAATACGGTCAAACATTTTGATATATTCCATTTCCCTGCATTTTACCTGCCTCTATATATTAGGTTTATGAATAACTATTGCGGATTTTTCCAGCAAATTTTACTTAAAGAAATTACAGAAATACTAGGGAAAGACATATTCAAATAATTACTCCGGAACTTCTTTACCATCTACGTCAAGCACTGCTTCCCACTGATTAGTTGGTCGGATCCCAAAAGGGAAGATGTTTTGATCCTTACGGGCGATCCACGCCTTGACATCGGCCATCAGGTCATCCAAAT